GGAATATTGACAACAGATTGCTGCTAGGTGAGGAACAGCTGATCTTCCTAAAACAAAGATCTCTAGATAGGCTGATTAGATTCAGCAGAAGGGGCAAACACTGGGCAAGTGGCTGGGAGTGCCGACAACACCCAGAGTAACTGGGCTCAGTGGGGGTGGGAGAGAGGCTATGGGAGGGTACCATTTGGGAAGTGGGTATATAGATGGGTATATAGAGATTGTGTGAGATGTTCTGTATGATATACACACACAAAAAAAAATCAATAAATTAAAAAAAGACATATTTGAGGAGGAAGCATAAAAATTTACTTCATGTTAAATAGTAGAGGTGATAAACATTACCAGTGAAATCTACCTGATGACTTTATATCCATACTCAGGTACTAAGGATCTGAGTGTAACCAACTGTGACTAGTAATAATCAGATACAGAGGAGATTGAAGACACATGTGCAAACATCTAAGCATTAGTAGCATTAAAAAATGTAAGAAACATTAGGGCTGGAGAGATAGCTCAGTGATTAAGAGCACTGACTGCTCTTACAGAGGACCCTGGTTCGATTCCCAGCACCCACATGGTGGCTACAGAACCATCCTTAACCCCAGTTCCAGGGGCCTCCAAAGCCCTCTTCTGACCTCCTCAGCATTGCATGACATGGGTGTACCCACATACACGGCAGGCAATACACTCATACACATAAAATGAAAATAATAATTCTTAAAAAGTAGGAAACAGCATATTTTAAAATGAAATGGAGTTCTTTAAAGGGTTAAAAACTCATTCAATTTTATGTCTTACAGGGTTTATACTGAGTTCAATATTGTATAACTGTATTAATTCACTGTGAACCTAAAAATTTACAGCCACAATGAGCTGGGCCTGGTGGCGCACGCTTTTAATCCCAGCACTCGAGAGGCAGAGGCAGGTGGATCTCTGTGAGTTCAAGGCCAGCCTGGTCTACATAATGAGTTCCAGGACAGCTGGGGCTACAGGGAGACCCTGTCTCAAAAAGACCAAAAAAAAAAAAAAAATTAAACCCACTTTTGAAAGAAATGTATCCTTGCTCTGGAATGTGTTACTGAATATGTTAAAGCTGTAATGAAATGCTTCTTCTAATCATGTGGTTATTAAATTTAAAAATTTTTTAAAAATAATAAACCAAAATATTCATCAAATATAGACTGACCGACCACATTATGTCATTTATACATAGAAGTATCTTCAAGAAAATAGGCCACAGCATTTAGAGTTTCTTTTTAGGCTTGAAGATCCTTTTCTTTTTTATGTCTGAATTGTTCTAAGCTTTAAAAAAAATTCCTTGTAATTGAGAAAACAATGAAGAAAACCCCTAATTTATAATTTGTTTACTTATTTTTTCGGTTCCAGGACCTTGTGAATGCTAACCCTGTGCCCTAACATTGAGCTCCATCTTCCAACTCAGTCTACCCTTTGATTGCTTGCGTGCGTGCGTGCGAGCGAGCGAGAGTGAGTTTCCCTGTAGCTCCAGCTGGCCTGGAACTCACAGAGATCCAGCTACCTCTGCCTCCCAAGTGCTGGGATTAAAGGTGTGTGCCACCTCACTGGCTGATTTCCATTCTAAAAGTATTCTTGGAAGGTTTTCCAAAACTCTTAAGTCCCAGTGAGCAGGGAGTGGTGCTTTTCACACCACTCACTTACCTGTGAGTGTTAGGGAGTGGCTGAGAGCTTGGTGGCAGGAGAAGAGGTCCGCTGCAGTGCCCACTGCAGTGCCCACTGCAGGGGTGGCTGCACCCCGAGAATGGTGGAGGTATCTTCAGGAGTGGCATGCTGGTGGAGGGCAGGTGGGGGCTCAGGCATGGCCCTGGGGGGGGGGGGGCCCTGGCAGCAGCCACAGGGCACTCTGAAGCCTGGGCAGGGAAAGGTGCTGCCGGGGTGGTGGGCAGCAGGTGCGGGTGGGATGGCGAGCTGAAGGAGACAGGGTGAGAAGGGATCAGAGATGCTGGCTGGGGGTGATGGCCAGTGGGGCTGTTAGGGGGAGCAGTGAGGTCTGAGTGCTGGTGGTGCTCCGAGACAGGGAAGGCCTCACCTGTGGATGGTGGGGAGAGAGAGGGATCAGACCTGGGAAGGAAAGCCCACAGGCTCACTGCTACAGCATCCTGCTTATTATGATCAGAGAGCATAGCCTCTCAGTATAAGGTGACTAGAGCTGGGAGAGGACTATGCGGGCAGCAGCTCTGCTGAACATGCTCGAAGAATCCAGGACCAAGGAAGGGAGAAGGCTCTGGGAATGCAGACCTCAGTACAGGTCACATCCCTCAGTTGTGCACAGAGGATATTTGTACTGTTTTTCTGGGTCTCTCTAGAACCTGCTTACACAGGCATTCCTCAGGCCTGGGAAAGGTGGTGTAGCAATCCTAGGCTCTGCCTTTGGGTTATATGGACCAGAGCAGCTAGATGGTATGCCTGATTCCTGGGAGGCCCCAGATTTCTGAGTGAAGAAGGAGAAGGCTCTGGTGAGTCTCTGGCTCATGGACCAAGATAACTGGAGTTATACACTCACCTCACATGATTCAGGATAGCACCATTTTGAAGAACCCCACCTTCCATTTAGAAGTATAACAGTATGTCATATTTACATATCAATAATCCAAAGGTTTTTTTCTCCCCTAAGTCTCTAAGCATTTGAGTGGAGTCTACAGAAGGCTTCTGTAATCTGTTACTAATTGGCTATAAGCATGGCAGCTTACACTGCAAATCTCTACTGGAAGTAAGTACAGTGTTTTATATTTATCCCTAAGGTAGAGAAAACAAGTCCAAGGAGGCAGAGGAAGCTCAGGTTGTCCATGGTATGCAGGGCAGGTATAGATGATTTAAGTCCTACTTCCCTAAGGTTTTCCCAGGCCACTTGCTCCTTAGGCAGTATGTTTCAAGTCCCCTTCTTTAACTAATATGAGCCAGTGACAGCTGTGAGGACAAACTTTTTTCTGTTGATGATATTTTACAACTTCAAAGTCTTGGGGAAGATACTCTATAGTCAAGGTCTAGGTTACCCCTGCTGCCATCAGAAGAGCTCCATGCTTACTTATCTTAATAACCAATTTTCTGTCCAATCGGGAAACCATAGTTGTGTACATGGAGGGGGACTAGGTACTTTCCCAAGCTTAAAAACTCACCAGGAATGGCAGGAGGACTCCCGAGTGAACTGCCTGGCATAGCCCCACTGGAGTGTGCAGAGTTCCAGAGGCCTGAGAGCTTATGTGCTGACAGGAACGAGCTGGGATCCCAGTCCCCTGAGTTCCCATGGCAGGAAGAGGAGGAGGAAGATGAGGATGATGAAGAGGAGGACGAGGAGGAATTAGAGTCACCCCCACAAGACTGTGATTTGCAGGATGCATGTGACAAGGAAATCTGAAAAAGAGAAAGAAAACAGCTGTGGTCAAACAGTGGAGTAGACAGTGTTCCTTCAGGCCCCTGTGCTATGACTGAAGCACAATTGGCACAAGTCAAGCTGAACTACAAGCAAGGGCCAAACCTGTAACCTGGAAGGAACCAGGGTGCTCCCAGTTACATGGCTGTGTGGACAGTGGGAAAGAGCTTCTGCCAGGGCAGAGCCTGTCTATGAATGTGGGCCTTTGGAGAAAGGGAAGAGCTGCCAAGACGATGAAAGATTTTTACTCCAGTTTAGTTTAGCTTTCTCTCTCCCCATCCCTTCCTTCCATCTATGATGTATGTGTGCAAGTGCAGGTGCACATGTGCCACAATGCACATGTGGAGGTTCAAGGACATTCAGGACAAGTTCTCACCTTCTACCTTGTTTGAGACAGGGTTTCCTTATTGTTTGGCCATTGCATAAGCCAGGCTAGCTGGCCCTACTACTTCTAGGGATTCTCCTGTTTCCACCTCCCATCTCACTGTAGGAGCACGGGGATTACAGATACTCACTACCACATCTGGCTTTACATGGATTCTGAGGTCTTGAATTTAGGTCTTCCATGGCCAGTGCTTTCATCCACTAAGCCATTTCCTTAGCTCTCTTTTTTTTTTTTTGGTCCCAGTGCTGGCAACTGAACCCAGAGCTTTGCACACACAAGGTAACACTCTACCACTCAGCTACATTTTCAGCCCCAAGTAGGAAACTGAACTGATTCTGGGTAAATAAGAGAGTCTATAGAGAAAGGAGAGGTGAGGAAAGAGTGGTCAACAAAACCTATAGGATGGTAGACTTCCACAGCTCCTAGCTGTCCTGGATGCCTTCTGACTAAGGCGTATCAGACCTTCTAACTGATCTGTGCCCTCAGCATCACACTGTTGCCTTTGAAATGGCCACAGAACTGAAGGCATCAGGGCCACATGAGGGGATAGGATCAAGATCTACCAGTGCCTATTAATAGGCCTGTCTTTTCTCTTAAACCTGAACCTAACCTGCAAATGCTAAGTCAGTGCAGCCCAACAATGTTTCAGCACCTGGGCAGAGGGGTGGCCAAAAGGAGAGCTACCTGAGGATAGGAAAAATTAGAGCCCGACTCCCTCAGGGATGAAGCAACCCTGCATGCAGGGATCACTTGTGAGCTGTTACCTACCGCCACTGCATGCTCTCGACCTGTCTGCCTTTCATCTTCCTCCATGCTCTTTCGGCAACTCTGGCAGACCCACAGAGGCATCTCGCCTAGGAGATTCTTGACGAGCTTTGGCATGAAGTCAGGGGGCAGCTTCTCACCCTGCAACACCAGTCCATTTTGCGAAGGGCCTTCTTCCCAGCCTTTGCGCTCACGGTGACACAGCAGGCAGCAAGTCTGTACAGACTGACTGGAGGTGGGGAGAACCTGTCCAACACACAGACACAGGGGTTCCCAGGAGGGGAAAAGGCTGTCCTCAGAAATGATACCGACAGTATTAATAACACCACTTATTACGTGCCAGGCACTGGGTTAGGCACTTTATAAACATAATTTAGTTTTAGTCCTTGTAACAGCTCTGCAAACAAGGTGTTCTTATTCCCATTTTTTTTTTTTTTGTTTTTGGATGAAGAAACAGATTTCAAGAAGTTAAATGAGTTGCCCAAGGTTACAGAGCTAGTGAATGTCAAATCCCAGCAAGTCTGACTCCAAAACTCATGCTCAAATGTTCTAATGCCCTGATGTCCTCAAATATCAAAGAATAAAGAGAAGACCTTTCCCTTTCTGGCAAGCCTAGGAAGAGTCACAATTCTGTGCAGCTTACAGATCAATCCTTATCCAGAAGGAAAATAGACTTTCAGTCAACTGAGAACTTGGAAGAAAATGGGGTTTCTGGAGATGAACAATTCCTTTAAAATTGCAGCAAGGTTTTGAAGAAGGGATTCATAGAACTAGTAAAAAAAAAAAAAAAAAAACATAAAAAAAAAAAAAAAAAAAAAAAAAAAGGTGGGGGGGGGGGGAAGACAGGGCCTCACGTAACA